CCCCCCCCAAACCCTAACAAAATAATATATTGCCCCCCCAAGCAAAAGTCCTAGTTGCGCCTCTGCCTACATACGTGTCCTACTTACAGCTTAAAAGTAGGTCAGATGCACCAATATGCCATCCGACCTACAGTGCATTGGACCTACCACAGCTGTTAAAACCACGTGCTTGTAGGTCGGATGGGCAGTAGAGGGGATGGGCGTAGGTCCAAAAATACACCATCTACATTATCTACTATACAGGGGTTATCCCGAAATATGAGAATTCATTGACGATCTGAGATTATTAAATACTATCTTGGGAACCCGGAGCGCTGCCAAGGTTACAAAAAGTTATTCCCGCCGTTTACCCGCACTTGAATGATTTTACCGGGAAAATAACTAAAATTTTCTCATCACTATAACTTTGCAACCTGATGGTGTAAGCCTTCGATATTTTAAACTTAGATCATTTGATCCAACAGAATTTTCATAGTTTGAAATATCTAAGGTCTACAACATAGGATTGCAAATATATAGGGCCGAGGGTCAGGTGATTAAATAAAAAAATCTTTCACTATTTCCAGATGATTTAGAACACATATTTCTGATTTAAAATGCGTTCCCAACTTAGAACGCGTTCTTGATAATAAGAAGGCGTTAACGATTTTAACCGTTCTTTTCAAGCAATTCCTGTTCTGTTCCGTTCCGTTCTTTTACTAATCGTTCCAATATTTTTAAGAACGAGTTCTAAGCGTTCGTTTTTTTCGGAACGATGGGATCGTTCTTGATCGTTCCGTTCGTTCTCGGGAAAGAACGATCGTTCCACCAGGAACGCGCCCAGCCCTACTTCCATCATTACGTCAAACTCATCATTCACTTTTCAGGTCCAATGCATGATTTTTTAAATCTTACCCCCCCCCCCCCTACCCCGCCCATCTGTCTGTCAATTTAAAAACATTGAACAGAGATATAGTATAACATGAATATATACTGACAAGAGAAAGAAAAGAGAAAAAATCTATGTATTTTTTAACTTTAATTGTTTTAAATGATTGAAGCAGAACCAGAGTTTATAAAACTAAAAATTCACGGTACAGTGATCATTGAATATATTGAATATAAAGTGCAGAAAAGTCACGTTTTTAAAGAACAAGTTCGCAATATATAGATTTAAACAAATAATGCCTCATGCATATTAAACACTGTATGCAATTTAAAAAATCAGGCCTTTGGGTTAAAAAAATTTCTTGGAAAAATGTTCGAATAAAAATGTTCTGAATCCCTTTAAGATTCAGGTTTGATATTGGTACGCCCGGTGGTGGAAGAAATGGCGGGAAGTTTCATAATGTAGTTGTACAGTTCTTACCAAATCCTTGCGCTGCAGACAACATGCGGCATAACAGCAATGTTTTGCTTTCTCAAATGCTTACAACCCTTTTATCTGCGGGTAAGCATTAACTTAGGAGTCAAGAGAAGTGAAGTTATTTCAATTGTGTGGATTTTAACAGCTAGTATTGTTTTAAACATTCAGTTATGTGATTTTATTAAAATTTTTGAAATTTTTCTAGATACCATCTAGTTTTTCTGATCTGTTGCCACTAAATTAAGAGAATAAAAGAAAGATACACCAGAAACGACTATATCTGTGCTTTTATCACCTGGGAGAAATAGTAAAAAAAAACTCAGACTGAGCACTGTGATCTCGACGTGCTGGGTCAACTATTCCCTGGGTCGTGAATTTAATAAATAAGATAATAAAAACTTTGAGAAATATATCAATACAAGTCTCATCTTTTGAATGATTATATAAAAATTTTAAGTCCAGTTGCATTTCACTATATTTTGTAAACCACTGTAATTAAACGTGAAATGTTATTTGTGGGTTAAAATAAATAGAATGATACGTCTGGCCTACAATGAAAAGGCTTAAAAAATATCTTATAAAAGTAATATTGTCCAAAATTCCAACGCTTATAAAACTGCTAAAATAGAATGCACAAAAGTCATTCCTTATCATGCATTGTCATGTTCTTCCAGTGTGCGTACTACGTAGTCAGACGAACTGAGTTTTTAACACAAACCCAAATGTTCTAATCCCAATACCTTTGCAACCTGATGGTGTAAACCATTGGTATTTTGAAACTTAGACCATTTGATCTAACCGAATTATTAGTGATACATATCAAAGGTATACAACGTCGGGTTGTCCAGATATAGGAATTAAAAAATTTGAAATTTTGGCAAAAACTCAGTTTTTTGAGAAGTCGAATAATGGACGATAGCTAAAATAGCTTTATTAAACAACATTGTTGAAATCAAAATAAAGTTTAAAACAATTGTTAAAAGTTTTAAACTTGTTGTTTTCCTTTAACCCTATCCCTGCTGGGGTACTTGAAAACCAGGATACGCTGGGGGGGGGGTCAATTTGACCCCCCTCTAAATCCCATGTTTGATGTCCAAATATGACAAATGATACATCATTAGAAAGCTCTTGTGCTCTACTTTTAGAATCTGCAAAAAAATTTGCAAATTTGCGAAAATTGAATTTTTTATNAAAAATATATTAAGTTATGTATATTAAAAAGTCTTGGTCACAAACTCAAATCTTTGATCTAACAGCTGTCATAATTTGAAATACCTAAGATCTGCAACATTAGGTTGCAATGATACTGGACTATACAATCGGAGTTTGTGGCTACTGGCTTAGACTCAATTTTTCACTATTTTTATAATTTCTAGTTGGAGAGATTGCCTTCTACCTAGATTTAAAGTGTTATTCCATTTTTAATGAAACAATATGCAAACAAAAGGTATTTTTGATATTTCATAAAAAAAATATTTTGGCTCTAAGAAAAGTACAATAAACAGCCGAAGCAGTTTACTTTATTGATTTTATACTTTTTCTGTGTTTTTTTATATAATTCTCGACAAGCATTCAAAAATAAGGATTTAATCCAAAAGTTTTGCCAAATATTGCAAAGAAATATTACAGCCATTGTTTAAGAACAGGGTGAGTCATAATTTTTTTTATTATTAACACTACACTGTCCCTTTTTGTTGAAAAATATTGAAAAATATAGTTTATTCTTAGATAAAAGTTATAACGTTAATTCGCGAAAAATGATGATTGCAAATCTGCACCAAATCGGGAAAATGGGGTGGCCTTTTTTTAAATTAAATATGGAATTGAAAATGGCAAATGCATAACTGTCCCTTTTCATAAGTTTTAAAATTAACTTTTACTTAAATAATTTAATTTGATAATGGTTATATTCAAAATCAAAATTACTAATTTTTGACGCTTTTAAATTTATTTTCCAGAATGACGGAGGATTTCTTGTTATCGGGCCAACTGGGAAGTCTATGGTAAGACCAATAGAAGATTTAGCTTATCCTATGGCACGGTGGACTAAGCCAGTGGGGTCGGTCAAATAGGCCTAGGATTAGGCCGGGTACTGTAAAAAGTCTGAACGCGCCATGGGAGTTGTCATAGTTAGCCCTCCGACGAGACTATGTCAAGAAAATTGACCCCTATCGTATTTTAGTCTGGTTAGGGTGACGTATACTGTACCATAGAATCAAATTTACTACGGCTTTGTTTTAGCCTGGAAATGAAAATTCCAAGTTGAAAATTCAACATTGGAAATTCTTCTTCTTCTCTGAACAAATTTTTTTGGGTGGAAAAATAACTCAAATTATAATTTTCATGTGTAGTTATAATTATAATTTTCATGTGTTGCTATAATTATAATTTTCATGTGTTCTTATAATTATAATTTTCATGTGTTGCTATAATTATAATTTTCATGTTTTGTTATAATTACAATTTTCATGTGTTGTTATAGTTATAATTTTCATGTGTTGTTATAATTATAATTTTCATGTGTTGTTATAATTATAATTTTCATGTGTTGTTATAATTACAATTTTCATGTGTTGTTATAATTATAATTTTCATGTGTTGCTATAATTACAATTTTCATGTGTTGTTATGATTATAATTTTAATTACCCCACAGAACTTTGTAGTCAGGCTTTTATTTTAAGACTAAATTATTTAGATCTTCTTTTTCTAATCCAAGATGGTTTTTAGTGTCGGCGTGACTGTGATGATAATAATGAGTTCAAAGTTGATGGAAGATGTATTTCTAGGAAAGATGCTGTATATTGTACAGTAATTTACTATATTGTTCAGTAATTTACTATATTGTACAGGAATTTACTGCATTATACAGTAATTTACTGCATTGTACAGCAATTTACTGCATTGTACAGCAATTTACTGCATTATACAGTAGTTTACTGCATTGTACAGCAATTTACTGCATTGTACAGCAATTTACTGCATTATACAGTAATTTACTGTATTGTACCTCAATTTACTGCATTGTACAGTAATTTACTGCATTGTACTGTAATTTACTGCATTGTACAGTACTTTACTGCAATAAACTGTAACTCACTGTATTGTACCGCAATTTACTGCATTTTAGTAATTTCCTGTATTGCACAGTAATTTACTATATTGTACAGTAATTTACTGCATTGTACAGCAACTTACTGCATTGCACAGTAATTTACTGCATTGTACAGTAACTTACTGCATTGCACAGTAATTTACTACATTGTAAAGTAATTTACTGCATTGTACAGGAATTTACTACATTATACAGTAATTTACTGCAATGTAGAGCAATTTACTGCATTGTACAGCAATTTACTGCATTATACAGTAATTTACTGCATTGTACAGCAATTTACTGCATTGTACAGCAATTTACTGCAATGTAGAGCAATTTACTGCATTGGACAGTAATGTGATAAACTTTGCAGCCATATAATGCACTGTTCAGCAATGTATTGCAATGTACTGCACTGTAAATCAATGTGTCGCGTTGTACAGTAATTTACTGCACAAAGCAATGTAGATGCTGTACAGCAGTTTACTGCACTGTAAAGCAAAGTACTGCATTTTACAGCAATTTATTTAACTTTATAGCCATGTACGGCACTGCACAGTGTACAGGGTCCACTACACAGTGCAGTACATCCAATAGTCATTAATCTGTTTAAATAGACTTGAAGCTGATTCCTATTTTAATACTGCACTGCACAATTTGAACAGTTTCATGCTTTGTATTATGCTTTGGAAACTATTATTAAACAATTTCTTTAACAGATAGTACATGTAAAACTAGAGTGTAATTTTAAAACTGAATTTTTGAGTACAATTGCCAAATCTTTTTTTTGAATTCTTGACTTACAATTGTCCAAATCTTTATTTATGGAATTCTTGACATTCAATGCACTGTATAATGTACAATGTACAAATCTAAAAACAGTTGTCCAAAAGAAGGCCAAATTATTCGTGTTGATTTTAAAGGTAAGATAACTGCATTTAGTTCATTTAAAAATAACCAATTTATGTAAAAATTGTTCGCTCTATAAAAAGCAAATGCGAGTAATGTCTAACCAGGGTTGCCCCTGGTGAAGATAAAGTCTAACCAGGGTTGCCCCCTGGATGAAGATAAAGTCTAACTAGGGTTTCCCCATGGATGAAGATAAAACCTAATCAGGATTGCCCCCTGTATAAGAATAACGTCTAACCAGGGTTGCCCCCTGAATGAAAATTAAAGTCTAACCAAGGTTGACCCCAGGATTCGGATAAGTCTAACCAGGGTTGCCCCGTGTAAAAGGATAAAGTTTAACCAGGGTTCCCACCTGAATGAAAATTAAAGTCTAACCAAGGTAGACCCCTGGATGAGGATATGTTTAACCAGGGTTGCCCTAGTAAACTCTCTAATCCAGGAGATGCTGAATGTATTTGTAATCCAAACATACACCTTGTGGAAGTCCAAGGAAAATGTTATCAGAACTCTACGCAGGTTGGAAATATCAGAACTCTATGCAGATTGGAAATATCAGAACTCTACGCAGGTTGGAAATATCAGAACTCTACGCAGGTTGGAAGTATCATAACTCTACGCAGGTTGGAAATATCAGAACTCTACGCAGGTTGAAAATATCAGAACTCTACGCAGGTTGGAAATATTAGAACTCTACGCAGGTTGGAAATATCAGAACTCTATGCAGGTGGGAAATATTAGAACTCTACGCAGGTTGGAAATATCAGAACTCTACGCAGGTTGGAAATGTCAGAACTCTACGCAGGTTGGAAATATCAGAACTCTACGCAGGTTGGCAATATTAAAACTCTTTCCAGGGGGGCTCAGCACAGATTTCACTGATTTAGGGGGGATGGCTTAGCTTACTACTTTTATTTGAAATTCTATAGAAACAATCGCGTAATATTTATTGGAATGTATATACATTATTTGAAATTTTATAGAAACAATCGTGTAATATTTATTAAAATGTATATATATACATGTCTGCAAAGCTACAAATAAAAGTAAAAGTTGATTAATAAAAGTATGTATGTAGATTGGTGAGGTAAACTCAAAGCCCAAGACGTTGCAGCTCTTAAAAGCCAACCTTTAGTAAAATTTGATGCCAAATTAATATAGTCTTGGATTTGCAACCCTTTTCTAGTAAAATTTTAGCTTTTAACTTATGCCTTTTAAGTCGCCATTTTATATCGTTCTCCAACAATCAAAAATGTTTGCGAATTTTTTGGTTTAAATTGAGGGATTTTCAATTTTAGTAAAAGCCGACATTTTTTCCATGCAAAGTTTTTCAATTTCAACCAGACACACAATTTTTTTATTGATTAACATTTTCCAGGGTATTTGTTCCCCTGGATATAATATGGAAATATTAAGGAAGGATGAATATGTCTGCCGGAAGAATGATTGCCAATTACCGAGTAAGTAGGATTTCTTTGTTTTATATTATTGTTCGTTATTTAAGGGACTTAAGACTATGACTGGGCAAAGTTCTGTTAATGCAGGTTGGCAATATTAAAACTCTTTCCAGGGGGGCTCAGCACAGATTTCACTGATTTAGGGGGGATGGCTTAGCTTACTACTTTTATTTGAAATTCTATAGAAACAATCGCGTAATATTTATTGAAATGTATATACATTATTTGAAATTTTATAGAAACAATCGTGTAATATTTATTAAAATGTATATATATACATGTCTGCAAAGCTACAAATAAAAGTAAAAGTTGATTAATAAAAGTATGTATGTAGATTGGTGAGGTAAACTCAAAGCCCAAGACGTTGCAGCTCTTAAAAGCCAACCTTTAGTAAAATTTGATGCCAAATTAATATAGTCTTGGATTTGCAACCCTTTTCTAGTAAAATTTTAGCTTTTAACTTATGCCTTTTAAGTCGCCATTTTATATCGTTCTCCAACAATCAAAAATGTTTGCGAATTTTTTGGTTTAAATTGAGGGATTTTCAATTTTAGTAAAAGCCGACATTTTTTCCATGCAAAGTTTTTCAATTTCAACCAGACACACAATTTTTTTATTGATTAACATTTTCCAGGGTATTTGTTCCCCTGGATATAATATGGAAATATTAAGGAAGGATGAATATGTCTGCCGGAAGAATGATTGCCAATTACCGAGTAAGTAGGATTTCTTTGTTTTATATTATTGTTCGTTATTTAAGGGACTTAAGACTATGACTGGGCAAAGTTCTGTTAACGAAACGGAGGTTTTTGAAAATTAACAGAAGAGTTCGTTAACAAATGGCAAAAACCATTTTAAAACAAATTAGTGTGTTCAGATGTTTTTAAAAGTCATTTTCATGTATTTGCGCCGTTAATACGGCAATAGACCGTTAACAGCTGCGCTGTTAAATATTTCATAACCCGTTAAAGATATTTATTTTTGACGTTTGCATCGTTAATGCCCTTAATACTGTAATAGACCGTTAACGATTGGGCCTTTAACAATTTTACTAACAGTTAACAATTTTTTTATTCTGTAATAACCGTATCCTTAACGGCTCCAGCTGTTAATGGTTGTTGAAAATTTTCCGTTAACGCGTTAATAAAATTTAGATTGATAACTAACTGTAACTTTAAAAAAAATGGAAAATACCATTAACGAAACCAAGTTTCGTTCTTACCCTCTAGAACCAATGATTATCTGAGATTTTATCTTAAAAACTCAACTTTAACGAAACGGCTTGAAAAGTTGAAACTTGCCCAGCCCTATTTTCCATTTTTGGAATTTCATGTCCACTTTACAATTGTAAATACCCTCGGTTGCACTCAATTTACATCAAGAAAATGGTTTAAAAAGTTGTTAGTCTACTAAAAATGGTCCCTTACATTACGTCTAAAGTCCCTTTAATGTTAACCTTTCATAACAGTCACTTTAATTTTAACCTTTCATAACAGTCCCTTTAATTTAAACTTTCATGACAGTCCCATTAATTTAACCTTTCATGGCAGTCCCTTTAATTTTAATCTTTCATGCCAGTCCCTTTAATCTAACCTTTCATGACAGTCCCTTTTAATCTAACCTTTCATGACAGTCCCTTTAATGTTAACCTTTCATAACATTCCCTTTAATCTAACCTTGCATGACAGTCCCTTTAATGTTTACCTTTCATAACAGTCCCTTTAATGTTAACCTTTCATAACAGTCCCTTTAATTTAACCTTTCATAACAGTCCCTTTAATTTAACCTTTCATAATAGTCCCTTTAATATTAACCTTTCATAACAGTCCCTTTAATATTAACCTTTCATAACAGTCCCTTTAATATTAACCTATATCGTAGATGAACAGCTCTGGAGTGATGGAAAGTGCTACGAGGAAAGAAATCATTTAAGCTTAAAATCTCATAGTTTCAAATAATATTTTTTTAATTTATCTCTTTTAATATTTTAATTGTTTGATTATTGATTTCTTCGTTCTTGTTAGAAGAGAACTGAAAAATGTTCCAGAGGTTTGTTCTTTATCTTAGAAAGGTAAATTAAAAATTATAAAGAACAATTTTTCTAAGATTAGAAAGAAATTGAGTCTTTGCTACAAACTCAAATTTTCTGATCCCTGTATCTTTGCAACCTGGTTTTGTAAACCTTTGATATTTTATTTAACATAATTCATAGTTTAAAATATCTATGGTCTACGAAATTTGGTTGCAAAGATATAAAGATCAGAAAATTATTTCAAATTATGAAATCTGTCCGATCAAATAATAAGCTTTCTAAGAAAATTGAGTTTGTGGCAAAACTCAATTCCTTTGTTGACGGTTCTATAGTAAGACCCATAAAAATTGGGGATTAGGAAGACGACATTTAATCAATATTGTGCGTATTTGATGCTGTTTTAAAGCATCTGAATTAAAAATCCACTTTTAAAAAGAAATTGGGTTATTTACGAAACAAGACTGTTGCATGTTCATTGGACTACTGTACTTAAAATCACACGATATTTATATATATATATATATATATGTTCTATTTTTGATATATTTCATAGATTTCATTTATATAGAAATTATCCATATTTCAGAGATAAGAAAACCTCCAAGCTCGTTTTACAGGTTTGTAACATCATATAATATCAACCCTATTTTTCTACACTAAAGTGATAACCAGAAAAGTCTGAAATAGGAAGACGACTTTCAGAATCAAGTTATAACTTTTAAAAGTTTCATGAGCAGGAGAGTGAGACACATCAATTTTGCAACGTGTAAACAGACCTATTTCACTGAATTGGTGATTTGACATGTGTCTTGTAGAACAATTTTCTTTGTAACAACATTAACTACATTGAAGTATTAAACCATAATGTCGTCTTCCTATTCCATTGTTTTCTGGTTATCACTGTATTTGCTCGTAATATCGAAATATAATTCCGCATTTTTATGGGAACATTGTATAAACATGTAGACTCTTATATACGTGTACACTCATTCATCAACATTTCAAGTACCGAGCTGTTAAGTTGGATTTGGCTCCAATGCTCCAACACATTTTTTAGATAAATATTTGACATTTCTTAGATCGAGTTTATTGTGGTATCTTACCAACGGTATTTCCGAGGGAAATTAATCTACAGTATTTCCCCAAACTATCAATGGAAACTACACTATCTATCTATTTACACTGGGATATGTTAGGGCATCGAACGCTGTGGCGAGCTCATTTGGTTTGGGAAGTTGCTACATGGAAAGTACATTAACGGAAATATTAGACCTTTGATATTAAAAACTTTCAGTTCAATGATTTCTTTGGACTGTAAAACCGATATTTCTTGACACTCTAAAATGGTACAAGTAAGACCAGTACAAACTTCGGACGGTACAAAGGTCGGGCTGTACAAAGTTCGGACTGTACAAACATCGGACCGGTACGAACGTTAACTATACAGACGTTGGACTGTACAAACGTCAGACTAGTTCAAATGCCGGACCAGTTCAAACGTCTGACCCGTACAAACGTCGGACTAGTTCAAACGTCGGACCGGTACGAACGTTGACGGCACAGAGGTCTGACTAGACAAACGTCAGACTAACAAACGTCGGACTGGAACAAAAGTCGGACTAGTTTAAATGTCGGACCAGTACAAACGTCGTTCATTTTGAAAAAAAGACCATGGTTATAAGAAATACATAAAACCTCCCTTTTCATGATAAAAGTAGCACTGTGTAAACATTAAAACAAACAGAAGTTGAGTTTTTGTCTCACACTCTGTTTTAATGCTTTAACCCCATGTTTACCTTTCAACCCAGTGTCGTAGACATTTGATATTTCATTAAAAGATGAAACAGTTAGAGTTTTGAATGTATCAAAGTTTATTATCATCAGGTTACAAATATTTAGGGATTAGAAAACTTAAGTTAGTGGCAAGAACTCAGTTCCTTCTGGTAGAATTTAATAATACTTTTGGATAAAAATCCCTCATTTGTTATTTAAAAAAATCAGAGTTAAAACTGAACTAATATTCTCAGACTTTTTGAGATTGCGAATTTTGAAAAGATAAAATCACGGATTTAAAAAAAAAAAATTATTTTAAATTCAAATACATTTTTCTCTTAGTTTGACTTTTGTATTGGTCCGACGTTTGTAAGTCTTAGACCGAAGTTTGTACATGATACCTCGGGTCCGAAGTTTGTACTGGTACCTCTGGTCCGAAGTTTGTACATGGTACCTCTGATCCGAAGTTTGTGCTGGTACCTCTGATCCGAAGTTTGTACTGGTACCTCTGATCCGAAGTTTGTACTGGTATACCTCTGGTCAGAAGTTTGTACTGGTACCTCTGGTCCGAAGTTTGTGCTGGTACCTCTGATCCGAAGTTTGTGCTGGTACCTCTGGTCTGAAGTTTGTGCTGGTACCTCTGGTCCGAAGTTTGTGCTGGTACCTCTGGTGCGAAGTTTGTACTGGTATACCTCTTGTCCGAAGTTTGTACTGGTACCTCTGGTCCGAAGTTTGTACATGGTACCTCTGGTCCGAAGTTTGTGCTGGTACCTCTGATCCGAAGTTTGTGCTGGTACCTCTGGTCTGAAGTTTGTGCTGGTACCTCTGGTCCGAAGTTTGTGCTGGTACCTCTGATCCGAAGTTTGTGCTGGTACCTCTGGTCTGAAGTTTGTGCTGGTACCTCTGGTCCGAAGTTTGTACTGGTACCTCTGGTCCGAAGTTTGTACTGGTACCTCTGGTCCGAAGTTTGTACTGGTACCTCTGATCCGAAGTTTGTACTGGTACCTCTGGTCCGAAGTTTGTACTGGTACCTCTGATTCGAAGTTTGTACTGGTACCTCTGGTACGAAGTTTTTACTGGTACCTCTGGTTCGAAGTTTGTACTGGTACCTCTGATCCGAAGTTTGTACTGGCATACCTCTGAAATAATTAGTTTGACCCAGAAATATTTATATCTATAGTGTGAGAAGGATGAGATTGATCTTAGAAGCACGTTTTCTACTTGTTTAGAGGTAACTATTGATATTTGAAGCACGTTTTTCGCTTGCCTCGAGGTGAATATTGAGCTTAGAAACAAGCACGTTTTCAGGAAAATATTGATCTTAGAAGCACGTTTTCTGCTTGCTTGGAGATAAATATTGATCTTAGACGCAAGTTTTCTGCTTGATTAGAGGTAAATACTGATCTTAGAAGCACGTTTTCTGCTTGCCTCGAGATAATTATTGGTTATTTATTTCTATTATACAGTGAGAACCAGAAATCTATGTGATAAAGGAAGTCAAGAATTTGGCACATAGTTATGATATGAAGTAGTCCAATGAACGTGAGACACCGCAAATGGACAGTCCGCAGTGTGCACAAACCATTTGCCTTCGTCAGTGCTTTTTCTGGTTCTCACTGTATTTTACGAAATATTTGCGAAGAAGAAATGCGAAAATTTCGCGATAAAACAAATGCGAAAATTTTGAGAGGAAAAATACAAAAATTTTGCGAAAAAATACGGTAGAGAAATTATTAATTATGATATAACAATAATCATTTACAACTACTTTACAGAGAAGTTAAGGGAATTTTACTACACCAAGTGTTCTCAAGACCAATTTTGTAGACAAAATTGGTCAAAAATGTAGTTGTACGCAATTTTATCGTTTTTTGGGATGAAAATTGCCGAATTTTCATCTCAAAAATTTCACAGAACGGGTGGTTATTTTACATAAATGTCCTGAGGGACATTAACCTAATAAGCGAGTAAGAATTCTTTTGATTTAGAAATCTGATGGAACATGTCAGACTAAAGGTGTTAAATTTGAACCTGAGATTGATTGGAGTTTTTTCAGGTAAAAGCACAAAAATACAAAAAAATGACTGTAAGTGTAGTTCCATAGTTAAATGAATTATAAAGAATAATTGCTATTTCTTTTTTATAACAGCCAGGTTTAGGGGGAAAAATTAGAGTTTATATTTCCCTAAAAATACCGATTTGGGGTTCCTCGAATTCTCTTTAATACACAAGCATATGCCCGATACACAACGGGTATCCTTAATCTGAATCCTTAATCTGAATCCTTAATCTGAATCCTTAATCTGAATCCTTAATCTGAATCCTTAATCTGAATCCTTAACCTGAATCCTTAATCTGAATCTTTAATCTGAATCCTTAATCTGATCTGAAATCTGAAAAAAGTTCAGACTGATTTATTTCTGTGAATTTTCCATTGCTTCTTATGGACAAGAAATACGCAAATCACTTTCGAAGAAAACCTGCAAATGGAAAAAAACAGTTTAAAGAAACAAAAAAAGTTATATCTAATTCATAGTTTATCAGACAAAGCATTTAAGGGTACCGTTGTAAATCGGGCATTGCCATCTTTGCATGGAGGGTTACTTGAAATTACGCTTACAGTCCCTGTAGAGAAGCAAATAAAAATGGCTCTAATTAATCATGGTTTATTTTGTGAGCACTCCCTTTAACATTTCGGCATAGTTTCCCTTTATTCTTACAGAAAATAATATCAACGTATAGCTTAACTATTTATTGACTGATTCACATAGATCAACATATATTCTCATAGATTCACATAGATTCACATAGATTCACATAGATTCACATAGATTCACATAGATTCACATAGATTCACAGAGAACATAGATTCACAGAGATTCAAATACATTTATATATAGATTCACATAGATTCACATAGATTCACATAGATTCACATAGATTCACATAGATTCACATAGATTTACATAGATTCACAGAGATTCAAATACATTTATATATAGATTCGCATAGATTCACATAGATTCACATAGATTCACATAGATTCAACCGATCTTGGCATGTTTAAAACACATTTTTTTTCGACCTATAAACGCATGTAGCTAAACAGATTCTTGTTTGATTCTTCAATTTTATTCCTCAAGAAATATTGCACATTTTACAAGTCAAATTTTCAAAACTTTCATAATTTGACTTACCATTATAATTTTCAATAAAGCATCTCTATTTCAGAACATTCTCTAAAGAATTGTACTTTGAGGAGACAGGGAAAGGAAAATAGTTGTAATAGATTATATAATTTAAAATAAATTTTTAAAATTTTTTTTTAGATTTTTCGTTCTTTGAAGTTTAACAGTACCCCTGAAAGCCTAGTCTAGTCAAGAATAAAATGAGATATCCAAGATTTTTTTTTAAATTACCTTCGTCAACTTTAAACGGTACTATCAATGGGCAATCCCATCCTTAAATGTAGGGTCACTGAAAAAAAACTACTATCTATATAAATATTGTATATTGTATAATTTGTACCGGCCCGGCCTTTTCCCCGTACTTTATAGGATTAGATCTACTCTACTTATTTACTTTAACTTTTACTTATCTACTTTATTTCCATTTTGTTGTGATTTTGGCGTTGGGATATTTCATAGATAAGACATTTCATAGATAGGACATTTCATAAATAGGACATTTCATAGATAAGACATTTCATAGATAGGACATTTCATAGATAAGACATTTCATAGATAGGACATTTCATAGATAGGACATTTCATAGATAAGACAGTTCATTGCTAGGACATTTCATAGATAGGACATTTCATAAATAAAACATTTCATAGATAAGACATTTCATTGATAGAACATTTCATAGATAGGACATTTCATAGATAGGACATTTCATAGATAGGACATTTCATAGATAAGACAGTTCATTGCTAGGACATTTCATGGATAGGACATTTCATAGATAGGAAATTTCATAGATAGGACATTTCATTGACAAAGACATTTCATAGACAGAGAAGATTTTCCATTGACAGAGAAGATTTTCCATAGACAGAGGAGATTTTCCATAGACAGAGGAGATTTTCCATAGACATAGGAGATTTTCCATAGACAGAGGAGATTTTCCATAGACAGAGGAGATTTTCCATAAACAGAGGAGATTTTTTTTTACAAATGATATATTTTCTTTTCATATTTTCCCTTCTATATGAAAAATCTTATATAAAATGTCCGTCTATGAAATGTCTTTCTATGAAATGTCCTATCAATAAAATGTCCTATGTATAAAACGTCCTATGTATGAAATGTCCTATCTATGAAATGTTCCAACGCGGGATTTTTGCTGTATCCGCCTTACTGTGATTTTGCCAGGCTACATTTGTTGCATAAAACGTGCTGGGTCGACTGGACAGTACGACGAACTGCATATACAGTGCGTGCTGTACAGGCACGGACCATGAAACTTTTAGAGCGGGGTGGCCTATCTTGTCCTGTGACCGTTGATCCATATCTAGTTTGTAGGAAGTATTAAACCCTTTTAAGATATCGTTTCTACTCCCTTTTATTTATAATGAATTTATATGTAAAGAAGTGAACAGTTCCTTGTTAATCATAATAAAAAGTTTATTGGTTAATTTCAAGATATCCCCTGGATCAACCCCTCTCTTGATAGATAGATTGTTTATAAAACAACTTTAAATGGCCTCGGGGGGGGGGGGGCAGGGCAGGATCCTGAGGTTGGTTCTGACCTTGCAACATACTTTAATACTCCCAAGGGAGGGGTCGGATAATTGGCTGTGCATAGAGTCATACCATTAAGTGATTTCAGACGAAAAAAAGTAAGTTAATTATCTTAAAGTGTCATGTCGACTGAATTAGGCCTGAGACTTTGTCTTCCTCGGAGAACAAACAATCCTAGTAATCAGGAGTATACCCGGAGAATCAGGGCAAACCTGAGTTTCAGTTGAGTTTACTCCGTCCTACTGAAACCATGGCGTCCTACCTAGTTCTGCTTCTACTCCTATCCGGAGATGTAGAACTAAACCCTGGTCCTCCGAAGCGAGGAGAACCTAAACCCGACCCTAAGAAGGTTATGGAGGACAAGGTGAACGGACATGACGAGAAGATCGAGGCCCTGGAGAAACTGGTGGAGGAGCAGGGGAAGATGTTGCTTGAGATAACGGAGAAACAGGTAGAGCTGATCCAGCAGGTGGAGAAGGACAAGGTAGAGTTGAACAAGAAGGGGGAGGAGATCAAGGTATTCAAACTGATTAAGGATTAGACCGACACAGAAATATGAAAAACTAATAACTAGACAATCCTATTCGTAAACTGCAGTTTTAGTTACTGCAGTTTTTAAGTCACTCAGATCTGTTAAGGCGTTAGATGTTACTCCCTAAATATGTTCAACCTGAGACCGATTTAATGAATATCGAGAAGGGTTGAGCCACTACCGTCAGTTTAAACAGTTATCTGACAAGTGTAGATGAAGTTCAATTACTTCTCCTATTCATTAAATCTGGTTCCTAATGGTGTAAACCTATGATATTTCAAACTCTGAATATAGCCATTTCATTCTTTGAAACATAAATGGTCTACAGCACCAGGTTGCAAAAAAAACAGGTTTTTTACTTTGATGTGCAAGAGAATATTTTCTGCAAACATTTTTGCAAAATCAAGAATAGCTAAACCTTAGAGAACAACTCAGCACCCTGTATAATTCTTCATTTGTAAAGTAAATATGATAATTTACACTTATGGGTTCTACTCCGTTATTCCCATCCCCACTCATGTCCTAATCCTCATGTTTTTCACATTCCTTATCAATTACTGAGGTTTGGTTTAAAATACAATATTCTGTTGAATATAAAAGCCAAAGTATGAAATATTTATCATTTACATCATCAGGTTGCAAAAATATATTGATCAGAAATTTGATTTCGAGGCGAAGTTCAGATCCCATAAAATAAATCCCCCAAAAACCGGTTACAATTCAGCGCCGGCTAAAATCTTGAAAAATTGAATACAAATTTTAAAAAAACCATATTTGAGCCGCGGCTTAAATTTAAGCCGTGGCTCAAATTCTTTAAATTCGGCCTCAGATCACGCAAAATAAGGGGTCATGGTTCTCTCCGGATTGTAGAAAACTCTGGTTCTCCCTGGATTGTAGAAAACTCTGGTTCTCTCTGGATTGTAGCAAACTCTGGTTTTCTCTGGATTGTAGAAAACTCTGGTTCTCTCTGGGTTGTAGAAAACTCTGGTCCTATTAAATGTTTTGCCTGAAAGCAGTTTTAACAATGTCAAGTGTCAACTGTGTGTTTTGAAAAGTTTTAATGATTATTTATAATCATTCACACTTTTCTGTAATGAATCGTAATCTTAATTATTACTTTACAATCAGGGATATACCCGTTCACAGACGACAGATTTTTTTCTTCGGGTTTCTTTATTGTTAGGGATTCTCTTTAGATCTTGTAGGGCTAGGCCAAGGTTTGTTACTCTCGATACGCTCCAATGTACGAAAAATAGCTCCTATAAGATGGATAGATGAAAACCTAATATGACGTCACTGATTACAGAGGTGAGTGTGACGTCATACTATGTTTTTATCTTAGGAGACGACATTTTCCATACATTGGAGCGCATCATGAGTAACCCAGCTTATTCTATAACCTCGGGCTGGGCAAAGTTTCATCCAGGGGCGTATTCAGGAATTTGTCCAGGGGGGGCTTAAACTTTTTTTCTTTACGGGGGAGGGCTCCGCAGACGCTGGGGCTTGAAAACCCCCTGAAATCCATAGATTTCACTGGTCCAGGGGGGGCTGAGCCCCCATAGCCCCACCCCTGAATACGCCTCTGGTTCCATCCATGAACGACAGTTTTTGAAAATGAACGGAAAGTTCCGTTAACTGACGACAAAACGACATGTGTTAATATGACATGGTTTATATTTCAAACTGAACTGAAAAGCCATGAACAACCAACTGCTTAAGAAGTCTGTCCGTTAATTGTTCTCGACCGTTAACCAACGGATAAAAAAAGTGCCCAATCATGGATCACATTAAATTTGTCATCCTTTCTTGGGTGTCGAAACTGAAACTACTGAAGGACAAGCTAATGAAATAATGAAATAATAAAATTATTTGATATGTTTATCACGGCCCTCTAGCTTTGCTGGAAGCTTCGTGTTAAATTGGAAAAGTAAAGTTTGAACCCTAAACAAACGTCCAACTTTGTAAGGAAGAATTTTTCTCGTGGATTTCAACTTCAACAATCCATGGTTTAACATGAATGAAAACATTAAATAATTGTTTCTAAATCACGAAATTGTGCGAATTTATTGCATTTCCTTTGTGCAACCATAAATTTCTTGCAGAATAGGATTGAAATCCACGAAATAGAAATAGTTTCACCCCGTGGATTTTTCAATTTCCCCTATTTACCCGATTTTATTCTGAAAGTCTTTGCACGCAAACTTAGATTAATCAATTCTCAAACCTTATATACAGGTTCAGGTGTCCTCATTATTTTACTTTAAAAAGATTGTTCTTAGAGTTCCAAAATACAATGAAAATAAAATATCCAAAGGTCTTTTCAGAAAATTAACATAACGGGTTACCCACAAAGGATGAGACTTCAGAGACGATTGTACGGAATTTTTTTGATCCGTTTTCTTATATTCAGGGTTCTTTGTAGGCCAAAAGTTCCAAAACTGGTTTATTTCTGTGCTTAAACATTTAGTAAACTATGAATTATTTATTTATAACGTTGTTATTTTGGTTCGCAGTGTTTTAAAGTTTTTGGAAAGAAATTTTCTCTTTATCGAGAAGGTTCAAGCGCCTTTTTTAGATTTAATTTTGTCCTCAGCTTTAGCGACGGACAAGATATAATCTTAAAAGACGAGAACCTTCGAGACATTGAGAAAATTTAAGTCCAGAAACTTTAAAGCACGTCGTGCCAAAATAATAGAGTTATAGGTAATTTTATGAAAGTCTTGTTTCAATGGCTATTTTTAGATAAGAAATGCTTTGAAACAAAGCAGAAGTCAAAATATAAAGATGATTTAAATATTATGTTCATTTCAATTGAAAAATTTTTTTTTGGAAGTATCCTAAATATTTTTGGAGAAAATCCGGGAACCAGTTAAAACTTTATAGCACACGTGCTATAATGATTATACCTAGCTCAGGTTCCTGATTATACCTAGCTCAGGTTCCTGATTATACCTAGCTCAGGTTCCTGATTATACCTTACTTACCTCAGGTTCCTGATTATACCTAGCTCAGGTTCCTGATTATACCTACCTCAGGTTCCTGATTATACCTAGCTCAGGTTCCTGATTATACCTACCTCAGGTTCCTGATTATACCTACCTCAGGTTCCTGATTATACTTACCTCAGGTTCCTGATTATACCTACCTCAGGTTCCTGATTATACCTATCTCAGGTTCCTGATTATACCTAGCTCAGGTTCCTGATTATACCTACCTCAAGTTCCTGATTATACCTAGCACAGGTTCCTGATTATACCTAGCACAGGTTCCTGATTATACCTAGCTCAGGGTCCTGATTATACCTAGCTCAGGGTCCTTATTATACCTAGCTCAGGGTCCCGATTATATTCAGCTCAGAGTCCTGATTATACCTAGCTCAGGGTTCTGATTATACCTAGCTAGCTCAGGGTCCTGGTTACACCTAGTTCAGTGTCCTGATTATACCTAGCTTAGGGTCCTGATTATACCTCGCTCAGGGTCCTTATTATACCTAGCTCAGTGTTTTAATTAAACCTAGCTCAGAGTTTTGATTATACCTTGGTCAAGGTATTGATTATATCTAGCATAGGGCCCTGATAATACCTAGTTCAAGGTCCTGATTATACCTAGCTCAGGGTCCTGATTATACCTGGAAAAGGGTTCTATAATCAGGACGTATTCAGAAGCAGCACGATGAATCTTTAGTAGCGGTTCAAACGGATATTCAGGGAATCAGGATTTATTTTTAAATAAATAAAACTAATAAATTAGGATAAACATGGAATATATCTGAAATTTACAGGGAATTGTGCCATAAGTATGCCTGATTCACAAGGTTTACTTTTAACCCTTTTTGGAGGTAAAACTATTAAGCTATCCTTGTTTTTCTTTCCCTCTGTTTTTTCCAATTGCGTTTCTTTCTTAGAATGACTAGCAGATTTATTTAGCATTGACGGTGTTTTTTTGTGAAACCTTTGTACAATTTTGAGAGTTGAAGCTGACTTGACAACTTTAAGCGCCTTAACTCGATATCTATTGTGAAACTTTTAAGTGCTTAATCCGTGAAAAACAGCTGACTCGTATTTTAGTGATCTCCCATTGATCTTCAGAGATATCCAGAAGAAATTAACTTAATCTATAGTACAGCAAATATACGAATTAATACTTTCTGATGGGACTAATAATACAAAAGTTCTGAATTTTCATTTTCATCTTTAGTCTGTAAGTTTGTGAATAAATCTTGGTTCAGAATATCAAGAATCAGCTGAGCGGAAGTTTATCTCAGCTTGGAGATCAATCATCAGGAACTGAAGATAAGCTCCGAGGACTTCAGGAGTCCTTAGAGGAGGTTGAGGTAGGATACAAACCTAGTATTGTATATGAATAAAAATCAATAAAGCAATGCACTGAGTTTCTCAAATATTCAACGAGTCGGGTTTTAGAGGAGCTCATACCTA